TTATCTCTGTCTCACAGACATAGAAACCTTATGAGTCATATGTCATTTGTCCCTGAGCCACGCCCCTTGCCTTTCCACTTTCTAGTCTTTCCGTTTTTTCTTTTTGGAGATAGTGTCTAACTCTGCAGCCCAGGCTGGACTGATACACTTACTATGTGAAGCTTCAGATTCATGGCGGACCTCCTGCCTCTGCCTCTTTCGTGTTGAGTTACCATCATGAGGCACCACCCTTGGCTCCAACTCTTCCTTCCACCAACATGTCATTAAAATGGCGATGGACTCACTTAAATCTCCCAGTCATGCCTATCTATTGTCGTCTCTGCTGCGAATCTTCTTGTGGGGGCCGTGTTCTCACCTCGGTGGGCAAAGAGAGGGGAGTGATGTGGAAGAGCACCTCCAGTCTTAGTGTAAGGAAAATTCTATTCCCAGAAGTATTCAGATAGGGCTTGTGAGATGGCACAGCTGGTAAAGGTGTCTGCTGCCAAGCCGGAAGACCTGAGTTCAATCCCCAGAACTCACATGATGGGAAGAGAGAACCATTTCCTTAAACTTGAATTCTGACCCCACATGTACACCAAATAAATGTGTGTGTGTGTTTATATGTATATGTATAGACACATACACAGTGGTGTATACTTTTAATCCCAGCAGATCTCTTGTAATTTCCAGGTCAGCCTGGTCTACATAGTGAGTTTCAGGCCAGCCAGGGCTACATGGTAAGACCCTGTCCCAAAGACTTAAAACAGCAACAGCAACGATAACAAAAAGACCTATTCAGCTATCTTTTTTTCCTAAGGCATTTTATTTATCTAAACAGTCCTGCTAATTAATGTCTCTGTGGGAATGGACTTGCAGGGCTGTAGAAAGAGGACTTAGTCATCAAACATTCTCACTGTGTTACATGAAGTACGGCTGCCGTCTCTTACCAACTTTGTTTTCGGCTAAACCAGAGTGACACACAGAATCCAAGTGCTGCAAATGCACATTTGACTTGTGGCGACACCGTGTGGCCAACCCAGGAATAAGCTCACGATAAATCAGATGATAATGTCCCCATGATATGTTCAGTTATAAAACATTCACCCGCGGAGCAAGGCTAAATAAATGCAGTATTTGGTTCTTCTAAACTTTGTTTTGGTTTGTTTGTGTCAGGGTTTCCCTATGTACCCCAGGCTAGCCTCAAATATATAATCTTTCTAGTTTAGCCCCCCGTGTGCTAGGGTTATAGATGTGTGCTGCCTTTATATGTTTAGATTTCACAGAATTGTTCTTCCGTTCCCTTTCCCCACCCTTTCCTCCCACTGTTTCTTTCATGGATTCACTTTATGTGTGTATTACATGTAGTGTGTGCTCATGTATGTATATATAGTGGTGTGTGCGCACACAAGTGAGGACCAGGGGTCGACACTGGTGTCTTCCTCATTTCTCTCTATCTTATTTTTTGTGATGTCTTTCACTATGCCTAGAGCTCACTGATTTTGCGAAACTGGCTGGACAATAAGCCCCCATTTTCCTATCTCTGCTTCCCCGGCACTGGGGTCAGCCATGTGTGTTGCTGCACCTGACCTTGTCTTTTTCACATAAGCGCCGGGGATCCAAACTCAGGTCCTCTGGTTTATAGACAAGCGATGTTATCCACTGACCCATTTCTCTAGCCCCTCAAATGATCCTTTACCATTTATTTATTAATGTGCACATGTATGTTGCGCATGTGTGTGTGCATGCTTGCGTGTGCTATGGTGCACATGTGAAGGTCGGGGGACAGCTCTGGGGGACTGATTCTCGCCTTCCATCTTGTTGAGGCAGGGGTCTCTTGTTTGTGCTACTTCACTGTAGACCCCAGGCTAGCTGGACCGTGAGCTACCAGATGATTCTCCTGTCTCCACCTCCATCTCACCATAGGGGGCTGAGATCGCAGACGCGTGACACTGCATCTGTGTTTTATGTGGGTTCTGGGAACTGAACTCAGGTTAGTAAGCTTGTGTGGCTAATGGTTATAGCCACTGAGTCATCTCTCTGTTCCTAATCTACCCTTTATCTAGGTGTCCTTTTCAATCACAAAGAACCAGGTCACAGAGGAGTTGTTAACTCTATGAACTGAGAGCAAGAAATGTTAAGATGCATTTGAAAGTAAGAAAGACGCCAAAGCTGGTGAGAGGTGTGTCAACAGATTAAGAGATCAACGGGAAACCAACATGGCTCCTACTGGCCCCACTCGAGACAATCTGAGCATCAGAGAGAATAAAAAGCTCAGATCCTGCTACAGTGCTCGCCTGTAATCCTAGGACTTAGAGGGTGGAGGCATGGAGACCAGAAGTTCAAGGTCCTTCCTGGCTACATAGTGAGGTCAAGGCCAGTGTGGGATCCTGAGACCCCATCTCACAAAGGGAAGGAGGGGCTGGGGAAATGGCTCAGTGCAAAAGTAGAAGCGCTTGCACGCTTGCATGCAATCCTGAGTTTGAACTTGGAGTACCCACAATAAAAGTCAGACCCATAGCAAAAGCATCTGTAATGTCAGGGCTCTGTTGGGGTGATAGGAAGTGGAGACGGAGAACCCCAGGTCGCTTGCAGGCCAGCTAGCTTGGCATACAGCAGACAAGCAACAGAGAGTCTGTCTCAAAGAGAACACCGAGGCCTAGCACCCAGAGCTGCCCTCTGACCTTTATACCCTCTCACGGCATACCCATATCTGTATTTATATCCACACCACCTAAATAGATTTTCTTAAGGCCAAAAAAGAAAAGTGAAAGAACAAAACAAAATAACAACAACAAAGACCAAAGAACAAGCGCAAAGCAGTACAATGCAGCCAGCATGTTTAACGTCGTACTTCTGTTGAAAGTAAAAACAAAACAAAACAAAACAAAACAAAACAAAACAAAACACAGAACCAAGCAAGCAACCAACCAAAAACAAAAAAATAAAATTAAAGCAAAACAAAACAAACCAGAAGGGCGACACCAAGGAAAGAAACCAGTAATCCTAAAAACTAGCAAAGGAAGAGAAGCTGACAGCCATGCCCCCTGCTCTCTCTGTGTGAGAAGAGGGGAGACTTGTGTTTGTTGAAGTACGCCAGCTGATGATGCAAACAGAGAGGACACTGTCACTGGATAAGCTCCCATGGGACAGGCACATAAGCAGGGACATCGTCACTCACTAGCCAACTATACAGGGGCAGAGTTTACCAGACACAGGAGCCCCTACCAGGCCTAAGCACCCAGGGACACAGGAGTCCCTAATGGGGCTAAACACCTAGGAAAGATTCTTGCTCCAAACTCAAAAGCCTCAGCCTGAATGCATCTCTAGTAGCAAACAGCAGTCTACAGGCAACACAGGGGCAAAAGGACGCGTTAATGTGACACAGAAATGCCAGGAGTAAGATTGAGGCTTTGGGAAACAACAGGGCCAGTGATCCACCAACCGCAAGAGCAAGGGAATATGCTCTGTGATGTGCAGAAATACAGATCGAAAAGGCTTAAGAATGGACTGACCAAAGCCAACGAGATGGAGATGGCTCAGCAGGTAAAAGTGCTTGCTATATAAACCTTATGACCTGAGCTTCATCCCCAGAACCTGCAATGAAGTAGAAAACGGACTGCCAAAATTGTTCTCTGACTTCCACATGCATGTGTAGAACAAGCATGCCCACTCTCATGCACATCTCTCTCACACACACATATGCACACACACACACACACACACACACACAGTCAATGGACTAATTGCAAAGGTAAGATAATGGGGGAGTCAGGCACAGTCATCTATGCCTCTAACCCAGCACTAGGGGATGAGGCAGGAGGATTGTGAACTTGACGTCAGCATGGAATACGTGATAAGATTCTGCCTCAAGCACCAAAACAAACAAACAAACAAAAACAAACAAACAAACAGCTAGAGAAATAAATAGTTTATATTGTTAGAATTTAACAAATTACTGTTAACGTATAGAAGTAGTAGGCACTATAGTAATATTTTAAAAAATATCCCATAATTAAAATATTTATGGATGAAATCATATAACGCCTAGAATTTCTAAAAAAAAATAGTTGAGAATGTTTTTCCTGTCACCATGTGATAGAACCCAGTCCCTGAGCTGACCATTTATGACGAGTGATGGGTACAAATGGATTTCTTATCTTTTGCTTTCTCCCTTCCATAGGTGGCTGGGTGTGCTGCCCAGTGATACAGCATGTTCAGAATGAAAGTACCCATAACATACAGAGACAACAGGAATTGTACTGTGGTGGTTTGGGTGCAAAGTGCATCCCCACCGTCTAAGGGATTTGAACTCTTGGCCCCCAGTGGTGGTGCTGTTTGGGGAATTGTGGAGCTTTGCTGGGGAATGGTGTCACTGGCTGTGGGCTCTAAGAGTTTGTAGTCTAGCCCCATCTGCTCTCCTCTCTCTGTTTTGTGTTTTTTGTTGAAGTCGTGATCGCTCAGCTTCTAGCTCTGGCCTCCTGCTGCTGTGCGTGACCCACCATTATAGACTCTCCCTCTGGAGCCATCAGACAAAAGAAACTCTTCCCTCCATAAGTCACTTCCGGTCGTGGTATTTCTCCACAGCAACAGAAAGTAAAGCAAGTGCAGCAGCCCCTCACTGTTCTGAGTCTGGATGAGCAAATGGTGAGAGGTCAGCCCCGTCTGCAACTGTGGCTGCTGCTGTTGGGGATGCTTGGCCCCCTCTGTGCATGGCTCGGCACCTGTCGCACAGTGTGATTTCAACAGATGGGGAGTCACCAATCACTTAGAAGAGACTTGGCCTCTGAGGCAGACCTGGATCAAAGGATAAAAGCCAAGTAGCCGGACTGGGTGAGGAGTGAACTGATTCAATTGTGTCGATCTTCAGATAATTACTAGATAAAGAGTAACAGGTCACAAGCATTAAGAAACGTGTAAATAATACTTTAGAACGTACTGATAGGTTGCCTTTCACAGGATGTTGATTACATTACGGGTGCTTAACCAATGGGGGAAATTAAATCTTAAAGAACCTTACTAACCCCGCCCCTCGAAGCCCTGTAGGCGAGGCTGCCGGGTCTCATTTGCATCAGTCGATGGCAGAGAGGAGAGAGGCTACATCTATCCTCAGTGTTCTGATCTGTGAACACCTGAATGATTAGTAGCCTAATGTTTCCTGAAAAAAGCGATCCTGAGGTGACCACCAATCTGGCACTACACAAGCCGCGATGGCTCTTAGGACCGGGAGCAGGTAGGAGACTAGAAGAACCCTGCCTGGGACTGAGGGCTCCCTGCAGACGTGAGCCTGAGACAAATGACCACAGGGGACCACTTGGGGGGTGAGGTGAGAAGATAGCACAAGATGACCACCAGATCAGTGCCATGGGGCATAGACACGGAGCTAGCCTGAGATGACCACCAGTCAGGTGCCACACAGGCCTGGGGGTGGCGTGGAGCACATATCATGGTGGATATGACCCCATGCCTGGTGTCGTAAGGCATGAGCAGCATATAGTCCTCCTGGGACAACTCCAGACACTCAGAGACCCTGGGTACCACTCAGAAGAGCAGGTCAGTGCTGAAGAAATGGAGCAGAAAGAGAAACAGAAGGATGTGGGCACAATGAAGAGAGGCAGAACTGGAGACTCGAGGGTAAAGAGGAAAAACCTGATGTGAGTAGCTGGTGATACCTCACAGGACCATGGTGGGGTTCTGGACTATGCTGCCACTGGGGGCCATGTCTGGGCCTGTGGCCCTGCAGCAGCGGGGTCTGTTAAAACCAAAGGCCAGGCAGATATCCCTTGTTTAGGTTGCTGCCAGGGGACATGTTGATATCAGAGAGCTGTGCAGAGCTGGCCCCACCCCTCATCTGTCACCATGGGACAGTTGGCCCTGGGGGACATCAGAGCAGGAGAGCTTCCCCTGCCCCTCACCTGCTACAGTACTTGAGACAGCAGGCCCTACACCTTGTCTGGGCAACAGGGTAGAGCTGGCCCTGGTGGTGGGGGTTGTTAGTGAGTTCTCCCCAAGGGCATGAAAGTGGGAGAGTCAGTGCGCTGACCAGCTTAGGCCCAGATCCAGGGCTTTGAGTTGGCTGACCCCCAACATCTACCCCATTGATGAACTGTTGGAATTCATGAAGGGGCCAGTCCTACACATCCAAAACTACAAGATCTCCTTGACACAGAGCAACAACAGGATATCCAAGAGACAGCTCATGGTCCCAGTGAGTAGCAGAAGCCAGAGGCCTCGTGCCAGACCAGTGACTCATTGCATGAACATTTGCAAGTAAAGATGTGTGGACAGAAGGTAATACTGTGGGACACACTGTGACACGCTAAAGCTTCCACAATGAGGGTTTTTTCCTCTGTTGTGGGGGAGGTTGCAGGGTGGACAGCAAGTATGAGGGGGCGTTTTAAAAAAGAGAAGTTTACTAATTTCTACAGCGTTATCTTGCTATTATGCAGCAGAGCTGAGAATCACACTACATAATAGAAGTTTACTGCTTGCCGCTTCTCAGAGAGCAGGAAGGAGAGTGGGTGAGACTGGCAGAGAGACCAGTAGACACCCAGAGAGTACAATTTAAGGTGGCTTACTCTCAATGCTCACCCTGTACTTGGGTGACTGTAGGAATAAGTGTTTCCTTAAACTTTGCATCCTGGGTACCTCAGCTACCTACCTGCCTTATTCTGCTTAGAGTTTCCAGAAGCCTCTGCACAGAGGCTGAGAAGTCTGAATGAGGGCTAGAATAGAAAGAAACATAGGACTGGGGGGCGGGGGTGGGGTTCCATGTCAGTGGCATGGTTGCACCACCTTCTCTGTCCTCCAGGGGGCTCTGTTCACCCAGCCAAAGACTGTCCACAGCAGGCAAGATTACATCACACTAGCTTTCTAAGGAATGATTTTAAGCTCTAGGAAACAAAGTCCCACCCCCAGAGGAGGAATTAGAATAGGAAAGCCTATTAGCAACGTTTGGGTGGGGGGCTTTCAGTGGACAGAACCGTGCAGTGCAAGATCATTTGTATAGTTGATTTTCATGAAGTTGAGCAGAACCCAACCCCTAACCTGTGATTACTACTAGTGAAGGTTCTGGTCTTTCTCTGAATCTGGTTAGGTGCCTGTTACACAGTGGGATTTTGACAAACAGGGAGTTACCAATTATCTAGAAGAGACTTGACTTCTGAGGGTAGACTAAGGACCAAAGGATAAGAAACACGCACCAGGCTGTGGGTACGAGTAGTTTGGGGGTAGAATATGGGGCAGTGAACCGTGCCAGGAAACTTGATAAGGCTGAGTAGGTTCAGAAGCCCTGGCACCTCAGACCTGAGGATGGTAGGCGTTTTACCTACTCCCAACCAGGTCCCTGTCACAAGACCATGACATCCCATGGAGAGGACACTGACAGCCATATAGAGGCAGCATCCTGAAGTCCCTCCACATGCAGATGAAGCAGCCCTAACATCTCAGGCCAAGCTAATAGAAAGCATATGCTGGCAGATCCTAACTCACCCAATATATCTATATCTATCTATATCTATATCATCTATATAGATATATCTGTCCAAAAAAAAAAAGGTGTGAGAAATACTTCATCAAGGATCGTCTGAGAGCTTCTGTCATATAAGAGCCATGACACCTTTTGTTTGGGGAAAAGAGTTCTCTCCTGAAGCTTTCGTCCCCTGGAAGCTGGCTTGAGCCTACTGAGGTCACTTCCAGACCTCGGCTCCTAGCCGCCCATGCCCCACTGGCTAGCCGAGCCTCCATCCCACTCCCATCTCCCTTTTGGAGAGCACAACTCTTTGGCCACCCTGGCTGGGCTAGAGCCCTGCAGATCTTACCAGAGCCCTGCAGATCTCTGTGGATCAGACAGGCAGTAGAATACAAGCTCAGAGTGTATGGACTGCTGGGTTTAATTCCCAGCACAAGAAAACAATACAAAGTAAAGCAAGCAAGAGCAGGCAACGGTTTGCATCTACTACTTTTATAAATGTAACGGCGAAGGGAGTCCTAACACAGAGCCAGAGGATAGGAGGGCAGATGTGTCCTTGGCTTAAAGGACCACAGACCAGGAACAAGCAGGGGGCTGGCTGCTGAGCTCTGACAAACATTCTCTACCCTTCGTTATCAAAGGAAGTCTGGGGTGTAAATCATGTATTTCCAGCTATTATATCCCTATGTATCCATGACCCCAAACTATTACACACACAAACACACACACATACACACACACACACACACATTCACATTACTGTCAATACTATTGACATATACATTATTGACATATACAGAACTGACATATATATTATTTATACACACAAACACACACATTTATATATCCCTTGATTTTACTAAGACCCTGTTATGGCTAATATAGGTGTTCAACTGGAGCTTAGGCTGAGGTGACTCTTTCTACCTATCAATATGGCTACAGGCCAAGGCATTTATCCAGATAAACCACAAATACATGTGTGCTACTGTCTGAATTAAAGTGAGTTACTGCTACAACTCAGTGTTTCCGCATGGAATTAAGCAACGGTGAAAAGCCAATGTAAATATTCACTGAGCAGATCCGAGGAGTGGCTAAGATCAGCAAATGCCAAGAATGTCTCCTTACGTGGAATAGACAGTGATGCCTTCCCGCTCCTCGATCTTCACGCTCTCATCACTGGGGGCCGGTGGGTTGCCTTGAAATTGGTTTGGAATCCGGAACCAGACTTTCAGTTTCTTCTGCAGGGAGCCATCTTCATTGGGAAACACGGCAAAAGAGACAGGGACAGTCATGCCCATGCCGATTCCTGAAGCATCAGAATGCAGAGGGAAGCAGGTGTTAGACAGAGGGCCATGGGTCTCAGTTCTCTTCTATGGCAAGTTTTTAAAAAAATGAGCAACAAACATTTCAGGCGGTAAATACACATGATTAGACACGTGCAATATCCCTTCCTTTTACATATCTGAGGTTGGAGTATGGTGGTACCATTTATCCATTTTAGATGTTTGTATGTGTGCCTTCAGGAGCTTATGTGCACTCTGCTCATGTAGGTATCTGTAGAGGGCAGCAGAGGGCAGCAGAGGGCAGCAGAGGCCCTAGAACTGGGATTACAGATGGCTGTGAGCCACCAGGTGGGTGCTGAGAACAGAGCACTGGTCCTCTGCAAGAGCCGCCTGTGCTCTTGGGTGCTGAGCCATCTCTCCAGCTTTTCTGTTTGCTGGGAACTGAGTTTAGGTCTTCTGCAAGAGTAGTAATCAATCCTAACCATTGAACCATTTCTCCAGCTCCCATGCTTGAAGAAAACAAAACCAAAAAATATTTGGTGACATGCAGTAAGAATGTAGATACATAAGGACCTGCATTTTTTGAGGAAAAAAATATACAATATGGAAGATTATGGATGATAAACATTCCCTGCAGGATAGTTTGCAACTGTTCAAAACGGGAGTATGTCTGAGTGAATTAGGGATGCATGACGCCATGCAGTATACCTGTGAGTACTTATGCTTAAGAAGATGCTTAGCCGCAGAGGGAAATCACAAAACAACAAGCTGCAGACACAAAATATGCGAGTGTAGGACTACTCTGTTTATATTAAAAGGCCTTGCAAGTGCCCAGTGCGCATGCCTTTAATGCCAACACACAGGAGGAAGAGAAAGGATTGTGAGCTCCACCCGCCTGAGCTATACAGCGAGATCCTGACTCAAAATCCAGGGGCTGGGGCTGTAGCTCAGTGGGAGAGCATTTGCTCAGCACACCCAAGGCCCTGGGTTTGACTCCAGCACTGTGAAGTCCTAAAGAGACATAGCAATGAGTGAACCAGAAAAGAGGAGGAAATTAATCACAGTGTTTTCTTTATACATATTTTTACCCAAAGGAATATTTTAATGGTTAAGAAAAACAAACAAAACAAAACAAACAAACAAACAAACAAACAAAAACTATTCTGAACTCTGACAGGTCAACTTATTTTCCAAAGCGTGCTTACTTTGCTCCAAGAAAACATTACCATGTTTAAAAATAATTCTTCACTACCTTTCTAAGTACCAGCATAAAAAATACTCAAAAATTAAACCCAGCACTTCTAATTACATTTTCTTTTAAAACCAAAGGCTAATCTGCAGGAATCCTACAGGGCCACTTAAGTCAGACTTAAGGGTCTTCAGGAGACAGAGACAAGTGACT